GTCTTGGTTCTTCTTGGTTCAGTTGTTCTTCCTCATACTCTTAGGAAGTTTTTCTTGCCACTGTAGCCCTCTGTGGTCCTCATTAGGAGACTCAAATTTCTATAAAGCTGCTTTGGGACGCTGCCTGTTCTAGACAAATAAAAATGATTTAAATTAAATTTATAAAGCACATTTAAAAACCAAAGTACGATACCAAAGATTAAAAATGAAGCAATGAAACAGAATAAATAAAAGAAAAGACCATAATGACTGTAGGCTTACTGCCTTTTGCCGTTGTAGTTATTTAAAAACCATTTGTGTTTAATCCCAATTCGCTGTGTGCTCTGTTTTACTGCACACAGCACTGAGCCAGTACTAACAAACATGAGGAGTAGTCCAGAATTTGAACTGTGGACCTTCAGCAATACAATACAAAGGTCAATGCGAATGATATGAAATAAATTATGACCTAAGCCAAAATCCCAAAATGACAAACAGCTGCCTTCCATACTGAATGAGAGAAGAATAAAGATACAAAAGCAAATCTCAACTCCCACCCACAGCAGACAGATAGGCCCAAAGATGGGTCTTAAGCTGGGATACAAAAGGTCAATAGTGGGCGAAGACCTAATATTAAGAGTTAATTTATCCAACAGCCTGTGTGCAGCAACAGAAGAGGCATGTTTGGGTGGAGGTGGAGTGAATCCGAACAAATATGAGATTCATTTAAATCAAATCTGTCATGAAATAATGATGCAATCACAGAAACAGAGCTCTCTGTGCTTCTACTTCATATTTTGGCTGAACACACTGCGCATTACATCTACGGCTGCAAGCTGCATTTCAAAACAGTGTTGTGTTCTAGAACTGGAGATTCTAGAATGTTCTCCACTTCCCTCCTCCACTTTCTGTTTGCATTCTAGGATGTTCCATTTTTAGAACATTCCATAACTCACATTCACATTTTAGACTGTTCTATACCACCCATTCCCATTATAGAGTATGTTCTGTACCCCTCTCACACATTCTAGAACATTCTAAACCACCCATTCCTGTTCTAGAATGTTCTACACCATCCATTCCCATTCTAGTGTTCTGTAGCTAATATTCCCTTACTAGAATGTTCCATACCTCACACTCACATTCTAGACTGTTCTATACCACCCATTCCCATTATAGTGTTCTGTACCTCTCTGTCACAGTCTAGAACATTCTAAACCACCCATTCCTGTTCTAGAATGTTCTACACCATCCATTCCCATTCTAGTGTTCTGTAGCTAATATTCCCTTACTAGAATGTTCCATACCTCACACTCGCATTCTAGACTGTTCTATACCACCCATTCCCATTATAGTATTCTGTACCTCTCTGTCATATTCTAGAACATTCTAAACCACCCATTCCTGCTCTAGAATGTTCTGCACCATTCATTCATTGTAGAGTGTTCTATACCTAATATTCCCTTACTAGAATGTTCCATACCTCACACTCGCATTCTAGACTGTTCTATACCACCCATTCCCATTATAGTATTCTGTACCTCTCTGTCATATTCTAGAACATTCTAAACTACCCATTTCTGTTATAGAATGTTCTGCACCATTCATTCATTGTAGAGTGTTCTATACCTAATATTCCCTTACTAGAATGTTCTGTACCTCACACTCACTTTCTAGAAAGTTATCCACCTCACAGAGTATGTTTACATGCACTCAATAATCCGATCATAATTGGATTTCGTCAGTTATCTGGTTATTCTGATTAAACAGCATCCAATTTCTTAGATCAGAGTAAGGTCTAGAAATCCAATAAAGAAATCCAATAAAAAGTGCTGGATTTTAGCTCAGTAATCAGATTTCTCAGTGCATGTGAACTCTTACTCTGATTTCTTTCGGATTTCTCAGTCTGTGCATGTGTGAAAACAGACTGCAGTACCGGAATTAAGCAAGCAGCGTTGCCGCTACATGGCAGCAAAACACTTTTGGAGCGACGCTGAAACCAACTACATTCTTGATGAAATGAAGGATTTAAATATTCTTCATCTTCTAGATGATGTCTGTTCATATTATCAGGTAAAGATGTTTAAAAAAAAAGCAGTGTCATGAAATTTGAGTTTTATGTTAACGTTTACGTCACATCTTCTTCTGTGAGTTTATTGGCTGTTTGCAAAGCAGAAATCTGATTACTGTCTGACTCATGTAGACCCGGAGTTTTACAATATCTGATTACTCAAGTGCATGTAAATGCACTGATCGGATTACTGATCTGATTTTCTGCAGTTGGCGGATTATTAGGTGCATGTAAACGCACTCACATTTGTGTTCCTTTTCCCATTCCCAAGTCCTGTTCCAATTCTAGAATCTTCTCCGTCTCTCATTTCACTTCCAGTATGTTGCAACCGGAGACCAGCTGGGTATCAGCTGTGCATGACATCACCCTTCATTCATGTCTAAAGCGTGTTCCTCCCTCTCCCTGCAGAGCCGGGCTGAGTTTATGCTAATCCAGGCTCTCAGGCAGCGGATTCTCGATTTCTCCTTCTCTCTCGTTCTCTCTCTCACTCTTTCTCCCCCTCATTAAAATGGCTGGTGCCAGTCTGGCACATTGATTAGGAGAGTCTGCAGATGGAAATTTCAGGTGATAAACTCTGCATCAGGCGGCGATTTGTAGTAATTGGGAACAGACTCTATTACTCAGCACCTGCAGCACTCTCTCTCTCTTCCGCTCTCCAGGAGGTGGCAAGTACAACATTTAAATTAACATCGGAAAATACATTATGAATTATCTTCGCCCCGTGAACTAGTGCAAAAAAAAACTTTTTTAATGGCAAAAGCAGATGAGCAGTATGTAACTTGCTTCAGAATATGTCGCTCACGTTTTTCTACCCAGCTGACATGAAAAGGAGCCCTGAAGGAACTTCAACAAAACCTCTTGATCCAGTTCAGTGTTGGTTTTACTGAAATTCTCCTCAGATTTATAAGCCTATAACTTGTAAATCTCAACTTGGTCTGTAAACGTGTCTGTTTTATACAGTTTGTAATGGTGGGAACTACAAGAATGAGTTTCTAGAACAGTGCAAATTGCAAAGATCATGCTGTTAAAATGGTAGAGCAAGCACCACTTTGAACACTCTCTCCAATAGTTCAAGGGGAACTCCACCAATTTTGCAAAATTACTTAATCATTCAATGGTTTAGATGAAAACAAAATCATTCAGAGTGGTTCGGTGTGAAATGTGCCTTTCTAGAGAAATTTACCGAATCAGAATTTTTCACAATAAGGAAGTTTCACGCCAAAATAAAGTGGCGAAAAAGTGTAGAACCACTTCTGGATGCCTAATGAGTAAGGCTGAACGATTAATAGTGTTTATATCAAAATCGCAATTTAAGAGATTGCAATTTTTAAATCTGCAGTTTTTTTTTAAATTAAAGCCTGCATTATCAAAAACATTGTCATTAGTTTGAAGTGTGGAAATTTAACCTAATAACACAGAGCTTGTGAACTGCCTGTAGATGAGTTAGATCAATCAGAGGCCACCAAACTGCCATGTCTTGTGACATCACAACCACAACTTACTGGCAGTCTTGCACACTACATTCAGGGAACTTTTTCTTCTTTCGCTTTATAAGTACTTTTTAGTCACCAAATTACCACCACGAGTCTTATACGGCACTAATCTAACAGCATCCATCTTCTCATGCTGGGGCTGAATGTCAAATATCTCCCTGCTCCCTACATAGTACACTATGTAGGAATTTAAATACTGGATCTTGCAGCCCAACAGTGCAAAATGCAGCTAAGAAATAGGCATTTGGGATTCAGTCACATTCACACTCGGTAAAGTACTTATAGTACTAGGAACCAGACATCCGAAGCATTTACTGGCTCTAAAAGCTATGTCCCAGTTATTACGCAAAATGGTTATAAATGTGTTGCTTGATACCTGATATATTGTTTTGTGATTATTATAAAGTTTTGGCCTAAAGCGTATTTTTAAAATAAACTACTACTACAGGATCACTTCTGTGTTTCTTGTCAAAACCACATTCTCAACTGAGATCAATGCATGCAGGCCACCGTGCTTTTGTAGTAATTAGCCTGTAGCTACAGCTGTTCAACACTGCTAACGCTGACGTTCTATCCGATTCATTTCCCCTTCAAATTCACAATCTCTTCCACAAATCAGGTCCTCGAGTGTGCGCATTCACTGAACAGATAACAACGCCAAGCAACACTGGAACTATGGAAAGCGAAAAGGTTCAAAAAATGTTTGTATGGAAGCAGAAGAACCCAGGCCGAATGAAAAATTGGTGGTGTCAACAATAAACTACTTACTATTCTACTTACCAGTTTATGGGGTAGGACAGCGAGGAGCAACTGTGATCTATCACAGCTCCTCTGATGAATAATGTTAATCACATAAGCTCTGAGTTTTGGTGACACCGTGTGACTCAACGCTGCCAACTGAAGCAGCATAAAAGGTGTGCAGGGCGCAGAGGTACATGCAGGGCGTTGTAAGGAAGAAATATTACCCAAAAAATGGATGTTTTTCAAATTTAGCACTATTTTATGTGACATATAAAACCTTATAAGACACATGTGAGTTCACTGGTCATTTTAGATAGCAGATAAAATGGGGATATTTTGTAGTGTAGACATACGGATGTCTGGCTCCTCGTACTATAATGGTGAACAATTTCTCTAGAAAGGCTCATTTCACTCCAAACCACTCTGAATGACTTTGTTTACGTCTAAACAGTTGAATGATTAAGTAATTTTGGAGTTCCCCTTTAAGTTCCTTGAATTATGCCTCCATCATTTTGCATAAAAGCAGCTACCAAATGAAGAAAAGGCTAATGCGATGTAATCTCAAATGCAAGTGGTTAAATATGCTAGTTACACATTGCAATACACTGTTTATTTATCCTGTGGTTTATTTCAAGCTTGGACCGTTTAACCATCATGACCTGACGACACCAAAATGTCCTTAATCATAACATGACATACATTCTCCTGTCCTGCAGGATCCCGGTGGATGTGGACCCCCTCACAGTCTTTGCCTCCCTGTCTCCAGAGGGTGTGTTGATCATCGAGTCACGGCAGACCCCTCCTTACTACCTCTACTGCAACGAAACCCCTGCAGAGCCCACGGACGAGCCCGAGGCCAAACCGCAGGAGTCCACCATGGCTTAGAACGTGACCCAAGCAGCCCTCAGCACAGCCAGTCTGGTCAGTGAAGACCACGTGGACATGATGTTTGCTCCAAGCAAATTCCTACTGCAACCCCTAACTTGAAATATCTTGTGATGAGCATTTCGACAAACTAGTTATGCCGCTGGGCTTCCACTGTGCCTTCCTGCAGAGTTTGCTTACTAGCACCACATCTTATACTCTTCTTCATCCAACCAATCAAGGTCTTCTCAAAGCCTCGCAGATTGCAGTTGGAAGTAAACTCTGTAGGAAGGTGGATTTAGAGGAGGAGGGTTGGTGATCAGTGAGTTAGCGTAGGAGTTATTTTATTATGAAGTAGCAAGTGGTTAGATCAAATTAGCACATACATGTGGTCCTCAAAGACATTGTTGATTGATGCAAGAGTTGATTAAGCCCATTTTCAAATTTTCATTGTGAATAGAGTTGATGTGCTTGTAAGATATTGAGCAGATATTGATCTTCATAATTAGTGGATGAATAACTTCCAGAGCAGTTTGCTTGAAGTTCAGCAGTAGCCTTAAGGCAGATCAGATGTTTAGACACAGACAAAGTCTTCTGCAAAGTGAATGTTGCAAGGTGAAAGGTGGAAAAGGTCAGTGGTCAGGATCAGGCCTGTGGTTTGGAGAGACTTTAAGGACTTTTTCACCTTCCTACTAGCTGTAGAAGTCCAGATCCAATTCCAGGATGAGTTGTAATCTGTACCCAGAATACATTGATTTGGATACAAATCGGGCGATGCAAGGTGTGTTTTCTGAGTATGAATTCTGCTTGACTGTTATGTGAAGCTCTGTGCATGGTCCAGACTGTTGGGGTTCACTTTTAATGCTTTACATTTTTTTTCTTGCCTTTTTTTTTCTTTTTGAAAATCCAGTTTTTCTTGTGAAGATTTGGTGTGTTTTATAACTAAATGTATTTAAAGTTGCTAGCCTTTTATTTATCTGCGAAAGGAAATTAAGTGGAAAAACATTCAGTTTTGCTTAAAGTGAATGTTAGTATTTTATCAGTTGATGTTTTTTTCTGATGCTCTTGTCACTGTAAATATAGAGTTTGTAACTCATACTGAGAAATTATATAAAATAAAATGTCTTACTGAAATCGTCTCATTGTCTATGATTAAACATGATTAATTCATTCTAAGCTGCAATGTTATTTTTTATAGGTATAAAATAATGTAGTGTCATGCAGTTATGGTTACCAGTACGTGTAATTTTGGTCATTGTTATTTCAGCTAATAAATAAAGACATGATTTTGCCATGAGGTTCCATTTATAATAAGCAGATTTAATTTTTTTTTTCTTAAAGCATACTAAAGGTACACTTTAATAAATGATAAGCAACAAATATAATGAGGTCTGGTTTGAAAAAGAGTAGAATCACTTATATAATTGCTTAATCTATGAATCATTTTTGAGATTATTAAACTGATCTAACTTTTGTTCTTGTTTCAATGAAAAACACATTTCAGTTATGCCTCAATGAAATCAGCTGAAATATTAAATTGCTTGTTTTTATATTACTGTTTATTATTACATTTCATTACTCAAGCAAGTGTGCTTCAATACAAGAAAATATAAAGTTTAAAAAGCAAAGCTTTTAATTATTTGCTATTAAGTCCCCAAATAGATAATAAAATACATTAAAATATATATTGCTTCATTGTTTATCATGTACTGACTGCTTTTATTTGTTGTATATGATTATGTGGGGCATGTGAAATACCTAGGTGGCATCTAATCGATCATTGATGTATGGCTGGCATCAGTGACTGGCATGTTTGTGATTTTATGTATATTTTATTGAATTTCTAAATGTTAACACACCTTCTGAAAGCATCCGAAAACAGAATTAACACTGTCCAAGCTGGGACATCCTGGAGTTTTACCAGTTTATTATTGAAGCGCTAACTCAGTATGGCATTCATTTTACTAAACTGTACTTAACATCACTGAAATGTTCTCCTCTTCCATGAAACATTCTGTTTTCCAACATGTAGCCTGAGGTTACATTTATATTGTTTCTGTGTGTTTAGATTTTATTACAATCTGTCATAATTTATGCATACAGTAGCAATATATTTTTCGCATATTTGAAGTAAGTAAACAATGCATCAACAATAAAACCTCTACACTGACAAAACCCCAAAATCTCATCTGTACACTGTAATCCCGCATTTTAACTCAAATAAATTAAGTCTGTTGTACATAAAATTCAGTATATCCCACATATTGCTCAACAATTTTACTCAGCTTTACTCAGCTGCCTGGCATTGTGTTGTTGGCTAAGAGTAAAAGTTATCGTTCTTTGCTGATGAGTGGGCGTTTGTGTTGGTCAGTGACCATGTTCACTGTAAAGGTTAACTCTTCGATGTTTGTCAAAGTGGTCAATATCACTTAATTAGAAAGAAATTTTCAATTGCCTAATGAAATATATGGTTAAATTGCAGTTAAGTTCAAATAATGAGAATTTAAGAGTTGCACAAACGTGTTTGTTAGCCTAACACAAAAATTATAGTTATTATAAGTTTTCATTACACATTACTTAATTTTTTCAAGGCAACCGGTTTCCTCAATTTTTTTAAGTAAATTCAACTTATCCGGGCTTACAGTGTAGAGTGTCCAATTCTGGGCTGATCATAGTCATCAATCTCCAACTGTTTGGTGAATCTCCTGCTCGGTCACACCAGCTAAACAGTAACTACTTGCTGAGGTGTTTGAGCTGGAAAATCAACTGTCCTGGAGCTGGACACACCTGCTCTAAGGGCACTCCTCAACCAAACCATACTAATGGCTAACAGTCACTAATAGCACAGTTTGGGGTTGGTGTCTACAGCATGTCCACTTCATAAGAAATCTGCTGATTTCTACTTATTCCACTTTTTTGCTTTTTCAAATATGAGCTCTCTTTGAGACTAATAAAGCTCTCAGCTTTCTCTCTGTTTCTGCCACTGTCCTCTCCCACATCTGTGCCTTTTGTTGGCTATGGTTTGGAGCGAGTGGGCTGCGTTTTGGGAGCCTGTCCAGGGGAGTTGTCTCCGCACCGCGGCAGTAATTGGGTGACGGATTAGTGCAGAGCTTATTCAGAGCGCCTTGGCTCGCGCACAATCCTGTCGACGTGACGATGGTGGGAAAGCAGTAGAGGAAAGTCTTCTTCCTCTGCTTAACTGACCGATTCGCCCACTGCATGTTCCCTTGCCAGCTTAATCAAAGCTCTTTCTGGCACTGTTGTCAGATCTTCTGTGATGGGAGTAGGCCTACAGGGCCTGGGGTTTCTTTATCACTTAGTGTGTGAAATGGGGCCAGAGTCTGAATATGTATTTAGAAATAGGGTATAGTGGCCTACAGAGTCATTGCACAACAGCAACTGCAAGGTCAACAAACAACTACATTACCAGAAACACAACACTGTGTTTTTTGCTGTTGGTAAATTTAGTAATTCCAAATATCATGTGCTGAATAATTGGAAACTACACAAGGATGCATATGACAAAATTCTGAGGTTCCCAGTTTGGAACACCATTACCAGAAATAAATCTTTTTAAATACATAGGCATAACATTCTGACTGCCTCCTTGTTTCTACGCTCATTGTCCATTTTATCAGCTCCACTTACTATATAGGTGCACTTTGTAGTTCTACAGTTACAGACTGTAGTCCATCTGTTTCTCTGCATACTTTTAGTTTTTAAACACCTCAGTGTCACTGCTGGACTGAGAATAGTCCACCAACCAAAAATATTCAGCCAAAAGCATCCTGTGGGCAGCGTCCTGTGACCACTGATGAAGGACTAGAGCATGACCAACACAAACTGTGCAGCAGCAGATGAGCTATCGTCTCTGACTTTACATCTACAAGGTGGACTGACAAGGTAGGAGTGTCTAATAGAGTGGACAGTGAGTGGACACAGTGTTTAAAAACTCCAGCAGCACTGCTGTTTCTGATCCACTTGTACCAGCACAACACACACTAACACACCACCACCACGTCAGTGTTACTGCAGTGCTGAGAATGATCCTCCACCCAAATAGTACCTGCTCTGTGGTGGTCCATGGGGGTCCTGACCACTGAAGAACAGGGTAAAAGGGGGCAGTAGTCCATCTGTTTCTCTGCAAAGTATGCAGAGAAACAGATGGACTATAGTCTGTAACTGTAGAACTACAAAGTGCACCTATATAGTAAGTGGAGCTGATAAAATGGACAATGAGCGTAGAAACAAGGAGGTGGTCAGAATGTTATGCCTGATCAGTGTACGCCATGCATACTAACAAAAAGACAGAGGGGATCTCTCAAGCTCCAGGCCACCAGGGGTATGTGATACACTAAACTGCCCAGTGCCATGGCCTTCAGTGCCAGGCCTATAACTCGACACATTAGCATCTATAGCAGTGCTCACCAAGCTTTCTTCAGGAGATCTGCTTTCCTGAACTGTTAGTTCTAATCTGCATCTGACATGTTTCACCCCCCAATTATGTTACACGAAGGTGTCTGACCCAGCCAATCAAGGACTTCTGAACATGAAGAAGTTTATTAGCTGGTGAAGGTGTGGCACATTGTGGTTGGAACTAGACTACAGGAACCCCATAGATCTCCAGGACCAGAGTTGGTGATCTACACTCTTAAAAAAGATGGTTCTTCACGGTTCCTTTGGTAAAGACAATGGGTCTATATAGGACCATGAACACTAAAAGAACCATTTTCATGCTTAAATGATTCAGCATGGTGAAATGGTTCTTCAGATTGACGGAGAATGTGTTGTTTATGGTTCTGTTTAGAACCTTTTTGAAAATGGTTCAATATGGTGAAATGGTTCTTCAGATCGATGGAGAATGTGATGTTTATTGTTCTGTTTAGAACCTTTTTAAAAATGGTTCAGTATGGTCAAATGGTTCTTCAGATTGATGGAAAATGTGTCGTATATTTTAAAAATGGTTCTATGTGGTGAAATGGTTGTTCAGATTAACGGAGAATGAGTTGGTAATGGTTCTAAATAGAACCTTTTATAAAATGACTCAATATATCACCAAAAAGGGTTCTACTATTGTTACAAACATGTCAAGCTTGTAATGTTAGAAGAACCCTTTTTGATTCAACATGGAACCAAACACATTCTCCATCGATCTGAAGAACGATTTCACCATGCAAAGAACCACTTAAGCATGCAAATTGTTCTTTGAGTGTTCATGGTTCTAAAGAGAACCAATGTCTTTACTAAAGAAACCTTGAAGAGTCATCTTTTTTAGTTAGTATCAGCCACTGAATTGTCTTTATGGCTGAAATCAGTTTATCTGTGTGTTTTCCTGTTTAGATCCTGGTGTTTTCCTTGTGCTAATAAACAATTCCAACCTCATAAAGGGCTTAATCAGCAGAGGAGTTGATTCAAGTGTTCCTGTAGGAGAGAAAACAATGCAATGCATGTTGCACGCATGCTTCAGGAGCATAACGGAAGCACAGCTCTGGTCAACTGAATAAAAGAAGCTTCCCGGTTTTATGTGCTGCTGCTTTATTAGTGTTTAAGGTTGCGGGTTACAGCAAAATCTCAGATAACACTCATGGTCAGTTAACTGATGAAAGGACTGCTTGAATCAAAGATGAGCTGGGGTTCATTCTCACACTGTTCGTGGATAGATCTTCATCTACTTGGCCTGTGACTTGGTCTGCATCATTTCCTCCGGCACCACCTCTGGTTGGACCTCCAGCTGGGAGGGGATCTCCTCCTGAGTTTGCCCAGTGGCGGGTTGCTCAATTTCAGCTTCAGCAAGCTGCACCTCTCCCTCTCCCTCGGGTTCCTGGACATCTCCATCTGACACAGCTTCGGCTTTCTCCTCCAACTGGGACGTCACGGTGTCTGGAGCTTGAGCAGCTTCAGGTTGCTCTGCGGGCTCCTGCACCTCCTCCGGGGCCTCCCCAGCATCTTCAACCTTTTCCTCAGAGACTTCCACTTGTTCCTCCTCCGGCATCAGTTCTTTCTGAGCCTTTTCTTCTGGCTGACCCTCTTCAGCAGTGCTTGGGGTGGGTTCCTCTTCTCCCTCTACGGTAGGAGCTGGAAAAAATGGAAGGAAACAGGCTCAACTCCAAAACACATAATTCAGTTTATGACTC